AAAATTCGTTTAGAAAATAATAGTTTAAAATTCACATAACTTAAATTAATAAAATGAATATTAAATTATCATAAATAGTTTGAGAATAATTTTTCTCATTGGACTCTATCTTACCAACAAAACAAAACAAAGAACAAAATTCTAGCACTTTCAAATTCATTAATACTAGATAATAATTTTAAGGGTTAGATGTGGTGGTAAAAAACGTTTGTTTTCTCTTATAATTTTAGGAGTTTGAATCTTGATATTAGTGTTTATGAAAATTTATTCTTCTAAATCTTCTTACCATAAAAAAAGAAAGAATAAAATTTATATAACAAATATTTTAATTTTAATTTTACGACACTAATTATTAAAGAGATGAGTAAATTATAAATTAGTCCTTTTAGTTTTAAGATATAAATTAAATAGTTCTTTTTATTTTAAAAACTAATTATTTAATCATTTGACCAAAGTTTACCACACTTAATGTACTATTATTTATTTTAAAAATGTCTTTTTTAGTTTTGATATTTTTATAATATCTATTTATTTTTATTTTATTTTCTATTTCTTAAAAAAATGAATATAAAATAGAGAAAAAGGAATGAATAATTATTTTTTTAAATAGAGAAACTAATTAATTCGTTTCTTAAAATTAGAGGAACTAATTTATACTATGACAATCCTAAAGAGATTGTGTGTTTTTCTATTTATATCTATCTTAAAATACTTATATAGTCATACTTTCAAGTTGTGTACATTTTTAAAATGTCTCCAATTAAAGTTTATTTTGTAAAAGATTATTCAAATACAATTATTAAATAAAAAATATTTTAAAAAAAGGACAAACAAAATATATTGATATATAATAATTAATATTCTTCTTAATTTGTGTGAAATAGTTTACTCTTAATTACATGTGGCCATAATTTTTTTTAAACTTCTAGTTCTATCTATTTAACTTTCAACCACATTCAATCAATGGTCCATTTAATTAGGCAGTTCTCTTTGATGATGAGCGGACCCAAAGCACTTCTATAAGAAGCAATGAAGCACCATCCACGGCTCTATTCCAAAATAGGTAAGGAAATGTCCGAAAGATTCTCAACATGCCGGTGATCATTTACTTTTATGATTATAGTAATGATAATGTAGATATTAATCTATAATATGCTAGATTAGGGCATGTTAGATAAGATAAAATAAAGAGATTAGCTCGAGATTTTCTTCTAGGATAAATCATGAGAATTGACCTACTCACTTGTAAATATTGCTTACAAGGAAAAACAACTAGAAGACCATTTGATAAAGCCCAAAGGATAGAATTTCTTTTGCAACTAATACATTCGAATACTTATGGTTTTATGAATATAAGAACTAGACACATGGCATCTTATTTCATTATTTTTATAGATGAATTTACTCAATTTGATTATGTTTTTTTATCTTCCATAAATCAAAAGTAATATATTGCTTTACTAAATATGTTAAAAAGGTTGAGAATCAATTAGGAAAAAAAAACTTTAAGGACTAATAGAAGTCGTAAGTATCTATTAGATCAATTTAAAGGTTTTTTTAATGACAAAAAAATAACTAGGCAACCTACTATTCTTAAAACATCGTAACAAAATGGTGCAACGAGTATAAAAACTATACATTGTTAGACATGGTTAGATCATCGCAACAAAATGGCATATTTGAATCTTCCGATTTAGTTATAGAAAGATGGACTAATGACTCGTGGCCTATAATCATATGCCTTCTAAATTAGTAGACTTTATGCCCTATGAGTTATGAATGGGCCATAAGCCTAATTTGTATTATTTGTATCTTTGAAAGTCCGTTGCATATGTTCATGATACTTCTCATAACTATGGAAAATTAGGATCCAAAGGGAAGAAATGTATCTTTGTAAGATACTCTAGATACTCAAAGTGATATGTTTTCATTGATGAGGACTCCGATAGACGAGTCACTAAAATTGACTCTCGAAATGTCACTTTTTTAAAAAAATCTCTTCCCTAAAAAGAATGAGATAGATGAAAATGATCTTTATTCTTTTTAGATAGAAGAAGAGGATAACATGCCTATAAATCAACCAAAAGTCAACGCACAACCAGTTATGCTAGACTATCTTCTTCCTAGTGAGAGGTTTAATAGCATAACACCACCATCTCAATTGAATAGAAGGAATAAGGACGATCCAATTTTGATTGGTGTTAGTGACGATTCTCATTTATATGGGAGAAATCAATCAATAACTCCTAAGAAACAATTCAAAATTAAGAAAGAAGCCTACATTACAACCCCACAAGATATGAAAAATCTAGAACAGTAAAAAAAGACACTAGCAATTCTACTAAAGATAAATGAAAAGTTGTGTTATAAGAGGAAACGTAATCCATAAATTAAACCAAGTTTGGAGTTTAGTTGATCTTCTACTAGGTCATAAAGCAATTGGGAACAAATGGATTCTCGACATAAAACGAGAGATAGATAGATCAATTAAATAATATAAAACTCATTTTGTGGCTAAAATTTTTACCTAACAAGAAGTTATAAACTATGAGGGAACCTTTTTCTTTGTTATTAGGTTTCTTTGATATGATTAATTTTAGTCATTTTAGCACATTTAGACTTAGAATATCATCAAACGAGATATAAAAATAGCTTTTCTTAATAGGGAGCTAGAGAAAAAAATGTACAGACTTTATTATTGAAGGCCAAGAGTGTAAAGTTTGCAAACTCTAAGATCTATCAATGGTCCGAAACAATCATCCGGACAATGGTACCTTCATTTCCATAAGGAAATAATAACTTATGATTTTAAAATAATTGAGGAAGACCATTGTGTTTATGTTAAAAGAACTCGAAGAAAAGTTTACAATTCTATTTTTATATGATGATGATATTTTGATAGTTGAGAATGATAAAGATTTTATCATATCTATCAAGTCTTGGTTATTCACAAATTTTGACATGAAAAATATAGGTGAGGAAAAATATATTTTGAAAGTCAAGGTCATAAGAGATCATTCAAAAAAAGTTCTACCTTTGTCATAAGAGCACTATATCTAAAAATTTCTAAAATGCTTTTATATGGATAATTGTAAGTCTATGGATACTCTTGTGTCAAAAGACAAAGCTTTAAGTTATGAAATGTGTCCTAAAACTCTACAAGAAAAAGAAGAGACGTCTAAAGTGTCATATTCAAGTGTAATTGGAAGCTTTATATATGTAATAATATTTAGTTGCCTAGATATATGTTTTATTTTTGGTTTGGCTAGCTAATCTCGATCAAGTCCTGGTTGAGAGTATTAGAAGGTAGTGAAAAAGATCTTAAGATATCTCAAGGGCACTATAAATCATTGTCTATGTTATCAAGGGAAAAAAAAATTACATTTGACTAAATACTCGGATGGTGATTAGAGAGGAGATCTTGATGAATGAAATTGCATTTACGGCTATGCTTTTTTACTCAATAATGATGATACATCTTGAAGTAGTAAGAATTAAACTTGCATAATTTTGTCTATTATAGAAGTTGAGTTTACAACTCGGTTCAGTTGTCGTGTGAGAAGCAATTTGGTTGAAGAGATTTATTGAGGATTTCAAAGTTATTAGTTTAGTGATAGCTAGAGACTTGTTACTATCTATTATGAAAACTAGGTAGCTATTTCTTATACCAAGAATTCCAAGTACCATAGTAGAACCAAACATATTGACATCAAGTATAACTAAATTAAAGACATCTTCGAAAAAAAAAAGTGTTAGTACAATATATATCTACACATTAAATGATAGCAGATCCTCTCATAAAATTCATACCAAAAGACATGTATCTTAGATATGTTAAATCTCTTAGAATGCATAGATTGTAACTTTGTCATAATAATAAACAGTTGAGCTTATATATTGTACTACTTCTTTTATGAATGCAATTTGATACACACACATTGTATGCATGTTATTATGATAAAGTTCAATTTTGAGAGTCACATAAGTTTAGATTGATTCTCTCACATACTTAATCTCTTTTAGTGTTGTTAGGAGCGAGTAAAGACAAGATAAAACTCTTATAGTATTATGAAAAACGAATAAAGTGGAGACAAGATTAATAAAGTGTCACCTTAATATAAAATTAAGATGAGATTCTTAAAATAATTAGCTGCATCCTTTGAAATTAGGTTAAAAACAAACAAAAACTGCTTCCTTTGAAATTAATTTAAAAATGAAAAATATTGTATTACTCTTATTGTAATTGGTATAAATTACTTTATAAGAGAGATAAACACCAAAGAAAAAAAAGAGAGAAAAAAATTACACTTAATAAAAAATCTTCTTATTATTTTTTTATGAATTCAAACATAATATATTTTTTTAAAAAAATAGATACATAAAATAATTATTATATATGTATGTATGTTATTCACTCTTTGAGTATTTTATTTTATTTTTTTAAAAAAAAAACTAAAATGATTGTCATAAAAGTTAGAGGTTGAGTTAGATTTAATAAAAAAAAATGAGTTTTTTTTCTTTGACTTTATAATTATTATATATGTACCGTAATTGTTCACTCTTAAATATTTTAAAATTTCTCCTAAAAAAACAAGCAACTGGAATGATTGCCATCTCCTCGATTAAATGCTTTGACCTGATAATTCAAAGAATGATAAAAAAAAAAGTTAGAGATTAAGTTAGATTTATTGAAAAATGAGGGGTTTTTTTTTATCCAATTATCTTTTCCGGTTAAAAAAAAAAAAAAAGGAATTTGGAACTTTTTATTGAAAGGAAATGCACATGCTTCTATGGATTAAAAGAACGATGGAGACCATTCACCCATCTTACACTGTTCATTTAGAAGAAGACATGCTTGGAAAAGGGAATACGGTTCCCTTAGCTTTGCATTAACTATTAAAAAATCAATACGTATCGTTCATAGTGCTTTCGGTACTAATCCAATTGAAAGATGAGACCATTCGTGTATCAAGAATCAGAAGGGTACCACAGGATCAACTCTACATTCGACTCCGTACGGAAGACCCCATGCCTTTAGCAATTTCTCTTAGTACAAACTTTTGAATCTTCCCAGTTGATGTCTTAGGAAGTTCATCTTTAAAAACCACAGTTTTAGGCACCATATAATGAGGCATTTTTTCCCTACAAAAATCAATTATATCCTTCTCACTCGGCTTTTGAGACAGCCCCAGCCCATCTTTCAAACCCACGAATGCACATGGCGTCTCCCCCCAGTAGTCGTCAGGTCGAGCCACAACAGCTGCCTCATTAACAGCAGGATGTGTATACAACACCGATTCAATCTCCACACTACTGATGTTCTCTCCGCCACTGATGATCACATCTTTGGACCTATCTTTGATTTCTAGATACCCATCTTGGTGCATAACACCCACATCTCCTGTGTAAAACCAACCATCTTTCATGCACTTTGATGTGCCGATTGGGTCTTTTAAATAGCCCAACATAACACACCCACCTTTTAAAGCAACTTCACCAAGTGCTGCCCCATCTCGTTTCACACTCTTTCCTGAACTGGGTTCCAAAACATCAATCTCAGTGAACCCAACAATCTTGACTCCTTGTCTTGCCTTTAGTCTAGCTCTTTCACTTGCTGGAAATGTATTCCACTTTGGTTTCCATGCACAAGACACCACGAGCCCTGCTGTTTCAGTTAACCCGTACCCATGACTCACTACAAAACCCAGCGACTCAGTCCTGAATAGCACGGCGGATGGTGGCGGAGCTCCGGCGGTCATAATCTGAACTGGGTTTTTAAGGGGTACATTATTTGGAGAGTTTGTTAGCATGGTTAGCACCACAGGGGCGCAACACATGTGAGTGACACCGTGTCTTTGGATCGAGCGGTAGATCGTGGGACCATCAAATTTACGAAGACAGATGTTGGTCCCACCAAGGGCTGCAATTCCCCAAGGGTAGCTCCATCCGTTGGCGTGGAATATCGGTAGGGTCCACAGATACACGGGCTGTTTTGGAACACCCCAATCAATCAAGGATCCAACGGTTATGGTGAAGACACCTCTATGGCAATGGACCACACCTTTAGGAGACGACGTGGTACCTGACGTGTAGTTTAGCACCATCGGGTCCCACTCACTTCGTGGTGGGGCCCACTTGAAACCGGGATCCCCTTTCTCAACCATGCTTTCGTATGTGCAGCAAAAATCAACGGTTGCCGATGATGGTGGTGCTGGTGCCTCAGCATCATCGGCGATGAGGACGAGCGTAGGGCGCTTGGTATTCGGAGGAAACAAGGACATGGCTTCAAGGATGATATCACGTGAGAGGCAATCAACGAATACGAGCTTAGATCCGCTGTGAAGCAGGAGTATGGAAATGGTACGTGCATCTAGGCGTGTATTGATGTTGTTGAGGATGGCACCAGACATGGGCACGGCAAACTGAAGCTCGTACATGGCCGGGATGTTGGGGGCCACAACGGAGACCACATGCCCACGCTGGATGCCGTAAGATGATAGAGATGAAGCGACTTGGAGACATCGACGGTGGGTTTGAGACCAGGTGTAAGTGATGTTGTTGTAGATGATGGATGGGCAGTCACCATAAACAGTAGCTGTTCTTTCCAAGAAGCCTAATGGTGTTAGAGGAGATAAGCTTGCTGGGGTTGGCTTCAGATCATCCATTTTTGCTACTAAATAAAGCTGTAGGTTCTGTTATGATTTTTAGGAACTTGAGGAATGAGGCTGAAACATATATAAAATGCTGAGTAGAACTTGTCCACTAAATAAAGATAACAAAGGAGACGGAACTGAGAAAAAAAAAAAAAAATTGAAAGAAAGAAAAACGTAACACAACACGCTATCGGATAAAGATGATATTTTCCTTTTTCTGGCAAAAATCACATGGTGTCATGAGGTTGGCATTTTAATGATTTTAACAAGTGATTTTGAATTTGTTTTAATAAGTGATTTTAAACTCGAATTCTTATTTAGATAAAAAAATCACTTGTATTAATAAGTGAATTTGAATTCAAATTTTTATTTAGGTCAAAAATTTTTTTATAATTATATTGGTTTTATATATTCATTAAAATAGTAATGAATTAATTTGAATTTTTTTAACATAAAATACATTAAAAAAAAAAAATAGGTGATTTGGGTTGGATCCTAATCTGGTTAGTGTGTGAGGTTGCCTCATATAATTTGCGATTCTGTTATTACTCTTTCACCCTTGTACTTTAGTTTTCATGTAAGCTTGATCTGGTCCTTGAGCGTTAAGATGGGTTGCGTACGAGAGAAATTGTTGGGTGGATTTATTTTACCGTGGTATCTATAGATTGGATCAATAAAAACAGGATATGTAAACAAAAGATAATGGCCCTCCCCTAATGACATATGCATTCTACATGATATTATTTGTGTTTTGTTTTTTATTGATTTAATTTATGAATAACGTGGTAGACTAAGCCTATCTAAGTATATTTTTTCAACATTCAAGGATATAGTTCCAACGTGACATGTCAAAGTGTTAAAAAAAAAAAAAAATTGTAGGAGGGGCAACCATGTTAGAGGGGGAAATGCATAAGCTTTTGGAGGGAATCCATCAATTGAACTTTCAAGAGTAATTTGCAAGGGCTAATTGAGAACTAAGCATTGCGGTAATTTTCTTCTCTTACTTGTCATTAGAAAAAGTTTTTAGATTATGGATCAAGATAGATTGATCCCAACTATTGATTCCAATTTTTGGCACATGCTAACGCGTACGATAAAAATGCTAAGAAAATACTATTCCATATGAAATGTTCATATCAAATTATAGTGTGATACAATCTTAGCCAATAAAGTGAAATAATATCAAATACAACATTTTTTGTTTCTTGAATCTAAGCAAATATTTGTAGAGTGCCAGCTCTCTAATGAGATGTAATATAAGTTCAAGAATTGAGCTTTTCTCGAGTTAATGCTAATATCTACTACTTAACTAAATCTACTTTTACTTCAAATTCAACTAAATCTCTTTCTCAATTATTCTGTATGGGGGAATTTCTTGAATTCTCTTTCAAATAAAATCAAGATCTAAGCTATAGAAAAAAAAAAAAAACCAATGGATTAAAGTGAAACTAGAACACAACTATAAAATTTAATTAATAAGACAAGGAAATTTTTTTATTAGAATCATTCAAATATATTTTTGAACCATTTTAATATGTCCTTTCTTTATTGATAAATCATTAAAAACGTGATTAGTTATAACTTTCCATATATATATATATATATATATATATATAAACAATCTTGTTTTTGTTAAAAAATAAAATGGAGTTAAGAGAGATAGCATAAACTTGGAATGGTTTTTTTAACATTCATAATAAATTACATTTAAAGAGAAAGTTTTTCATTTAACATAAATGTTATGTGATTAATTTGTGTAATTTAATTATCTTTAAAGTCAATAAATATATCAAATAATCCTAACCATCTCGTTACAATTATTATTAGTTAGGTGATGTTTGATAATCGAAATAAAGTGATTGGAATGAAAATTAAGGAATCGGAATGAAAATTAAGGAATCGGAATGGTATTTGTATTTTAATACTGTGCTTGGAATACTAATAAGGAATCGGAATGCAATTTAAATTTTTTAATATTTGATTTTGTATACAAATATAAATAATGATTAAAAAATAATTTTATTAAACTATAATAGTTATAAAAATAATAAAGGTGATGGTAGTGATTGTGGTGGCGGTGGCGGTGGTGGTAATGATTGCGGTAGTGATGGTGGTTGTGATTGTAATAATGATGATTGTGGTGGTGGTGGTGGTTGTGATGATGTTAGTAGTGGTAGTGGTTGTGATGGTGGTTGCGGTGGTTGCGGTGGTTGCGGTGGTAGTGGTGGTTGTAGTTGTGATGGTGGTGGTAATAGCGGTAGTGGTGGTGATGAAGATAGTGTAGTGGTGTTGGTGGTTGTTGTAATGGTGATTGTGGCAAAAGTAGTTAATAGATAATAAATAAATAAAATACATTATTATTTTGAAAAAAAAATCATTCTCATTCCTTGTTTTTTATTCCCACATTTTATGTGGGAATGAAGTTGTGTGTAAATTTTCATTCCCATTCCCACTCTTCATTCCCATTCCCATTTCATTCCTTTTAACCAAACAGCTATAATGTGGGAATAAAACTTCCATTCCCATTCCCATCACTCTATTCCTAATATTGTTTCCTTGTTGAGAGAGAAAAGAAAGAAGAAACTACATACTTAAATGCAATTCCTATTCTATCGGCATCTAAAATAACACCGAGTCCCATAGTAGGAGTAGTCCAATGACCCAAAAGATGGTTCTTAGAAGAGCCAAGTTGAGTTATGAATACACCGACACTACAAAAACCCAAAAAAAAAAAAAAAACAAGTAATTAGTGATGGAAAATTCCATTGTTAATTGCCCAAATTCCATCGCTAATAGTGAATAGCGATGGAATTACGACGAAATATTTTTCGTTACTATTTTGCTTGTCGCTAATTTTTTATGATGAAAAATCTAGTCTATTGCTACGTTTAGTGATAAAAAAATTCGTCGCTATGTATAAACAAGTCGTCGCTAATCTTGTCGTGGGATCTGTCGTTTCTTTCATAGCTATTCGTCGCTAATTTTGAAATTAAATTTATCGCTAGTCCGTCGCTATTCCATCTCTAAATTTAAAATGAATTTGTCGCTAGTTGGTCGCTACTTTTGAAAATGAATTTGTTACTATTCCGTCACTATTTGGTTGCTAAATTTGAAAATGAATTTGTCGCTAATCCGTCATTAATTTAAAAAAAAATTGTCGCCATTCTCGTTGCTATTCGGTGTGAAATTTTTGAACATTTTTTTTAATTATTAATATGGAATTTAATATTAACAATTATAAATAATAATGTATATATTAAAAATAAAATAATATTGATAATATCATTTGAGAATACGTTCCATAAAAAAAATAAAAAAACAAAGTGACTATATACTCTATCAATTATCTTGCTTGTTTAATCTCATATCCTCGTCCTAATACCGTGTGGACGGCTTGGTTGGAGGCTGAACTAAAAATTGACTCGGAAGGAACGGTAGATTGTTGATCGATCGACGAATCTATAGGCACCCCGGTTGTTTGTGCTAGCCTTATGACTAAGGATGCCATCAACTCATACCGAGACTATAAGTAGTCCGATGTCTGCTCCGAGATCTAGCTAGGCTACTCTTCCACTCGGCTTTAAAGCTTGGCTTGTATCACCCGAATCCTCTTCATCGCTTCCTTCGTAGCTTTGTAGTCCCTCCGAAGCTCTTCGTTAGTCGAATCGGTGGTATAATGCGATGTCGCGAGAGGAGGAGCTACCGCCACCTAACCGGGACAAATAATGCATCGACCGTGTGCCTATACCATAAAATCTTTTCTTTTTCTCCCTAACAAGCCCTAGCTATATGGCGTGTTGATCACCTTCCGGCTCCAAAATTCCTTCCGCCTCTCGAGCCGCAATCGCCTCATTTTATACGCTACTCCACATGCTTCGCGTAATCAAAATAATGATATCATCATTAGAAGATTAAAATAAATTTTAGATTATCTTTTTATATTTAATACTTTTATTGAAAAACACTTACCATTGTCTACTAGGAGCGTAGATTGACAAATGAACCATCTTATCACTTGTGATTCGTCTTAAATAATTCAAAAATCGTTGTCTAACGGCCTAACTTTACTCGCTTGAAAAGAAAAATTCATTACAAACAATATGAGAAGAAAATTAAAATTTTATGAAATAAGTCAATAATAATAAAGAATGTGAAATTGACCAAACAACGAACGTGCTCTTTTGAAGATATAGATCCCCTTGTATGCCCGAAAGGACCCGCACTAGGATCATCGGTCTCCGACAACCGGCTTTGCAAAGCTTGCTCGAACGAGCCATGCGATCGGGGCTCCTAAAATATGCACACCACACATCCTAAACCTCCCGACTAACATAAATAGGTCGATCGTTTCTCTTACTCATCTTGCGGATGAAGTCGGCATAGCGTTCATCGCCGACACCCTCTCATGCCACTTTAACAAGCGTATCGATGTCCTCATCCCAGTAAAAAAAAAAAATTCTACACGAATAAAAAAAACTTATCTAATTTATGTAAGAAATTTTTTACTTTAATTCTAAAGAAAATTGATAATACATTACCCAAAATTCACTAAAGAGAAGTCTTTAGTGATGTCGGTGACACCTATCCAAGATGATCCACTCTTGTCTACTCGTTCCTTAATAATCCCGGTGATCCTCATAGCATAATCTTTAGTATATGGAGTCAAACTATCGAATAACAAAACGATGAAAGAAAAATTAAAAACAACACATCAATTATTGAAATTACATATTAAAGTTAAAAAAAAATACATATTTGTCCTTGATCGATAGAAACAATACATTGTCGACTTGGAGGAGCTATGACAACTCTCTAGAATGTCGGATATGTGATCGGAGGGGCCACTCTCGAAGTTCGGTGGTGGAATCTCGGATGCCGATATAAGAATACCTACCAATGCAAATGTGCTAGCTCCATAAATACGGGAGCTATGGGATCCATAAAAAAAGGCTCGTCGTTGGAGATCTATGACGGATACGGTAGGGGATCCTAACGGACTATCCTTAGATGAT